TTCACTGTTGATTATTTATCATCAGAGAACCGAATTGTTATTACTAAAGCCTGATCCCTACACACGGGTCATATAGAATTGGTGTAGCACAGAAATGGGAAAATTTATGTTAGGTACCTATAAGGCTCTACTAAGGTACATATTAAAAGCGAATCGAATTTAACTTTATTTAAAAACACGAAAGAACAGCCTTATGATACCGGTTCTGAAAAAATTATCAAGGATAAAGAAATCAACAAGAAAAAGCGTTTCCGTCATGTAATGAGAACTCTTCCAACCCATGCTTAGTTCGAAATAAAAAACTAAATGTAAACAGGTCATTTATATCTTTACCACAATATTAGTTTAAACTAGCCAAAAAAATTAAACCTTAAACTAGTGGTCAAGGTACCTGCAAAATATTTTTCTGTAATATCAATGTATAGCTTTTTTCAGTAATATTCATAATTTTCCCTATAAACAAAAAATACTAAGGTAAATGTAAATATATGTATGCCTCCTATCAATTAACTGCTGGTGATCAACGTATTTATAAAACCCAAAAATTGTTACAAGCCCATGGAAGTTTGAATTTGTAGTAGATGGTGGAATAGGAATTGTTTGAAGGAGTTTATGGATGTGGTTTGGGGTATGGAGGTGGGTAAGGAGGTGGGTAAGGAGTTCCAGAAGATGGTAGCACGAATGATGAAGGATTTGCTGAAGGAAATGGTGATATGGGAGGGTATCTATAAATCTATAGGTCCGGTATTGAGAGAGTGGGATAGAAGAGCGTAAAGTAAGAAGTTCGAGGATGTAGGGAGGGTTTTTTGTTCTGAGGACTCGTAAAAGGCAAACTCCAAAAAAGAATTGCTGACAGAAAATAGGATAAAGCCACTTCAATTCGGTGTACCAGCAGTAAATATGAAAACACTTTGGAATAGCAAAGATGGTTCTTATGAAACAATTCATAAGTGTCTTTAGTTTCGCCTCCAGTCCTGTGGACAACGCTTCATACACCAAACAACCGTAGTCGATGTGGTGGAAAACAAGGGTGTTACAAGGAGATGTTTGGTTTTTTTTGGAATGGAATCACGGACTCGTAGGAATTGTTTGAGAATTCGAAAAGCACTAGAATAGAGATTTTATGTTTGTCTGTGAATGATTGGAGGTCATGGGTAATCTTTAACAAGGCAGATTGAGTAGAACATTGGGAACGAAAACCGGATTGCAAAGGATTGAGGAGACGGTTTTGCTCGAGAAAGTTATTCAACTGAGAGTGAAGTAATCTTTCTAGAGGCTTGAATAAATTAGATAAAATGGAAATGGGTCTGAAGTCGGAAGCTGGTGAAGGAGCAGGAACTTTGTTCAACGGCCGGACAATGCCTTTTTTCCAGGCTTTTGGAAAATGGAATTTTGGAGGAAAAAGTTTTAGATGTGTAGAAGTATAGGAAGTAAGCTTGGAATACAGAGTTTAATGATTATCACGGGTATTTGGTGAGGACCATAGTCATGGGTTTTGGATTTAAGGATATTAAAAAGGTAGGTCAGTATCAAAGATTTTAAGAAAAATAATGTATTTGAGTCAAAGGAGGTTTTAGTGATGGAAAAAGGTATGAGGTCGGATGTGAATATAGAAAGAAGATGGTTTGCTAAAAAGAAGTTAAGTTCGTTCGAATCTACCAGTAAAGAGTGCAAGTTTTGTAGCTTATGACAGAGAGGTTCCTGAGGATTTTTCATTTACATTTAGGATTAGCTGCTTGGGATAATACATTATTGAGGTATTACGCTTTGGACCGGCGTAAGGATATTTGTGTGCTGTTTCGTAGGAATTTGAAGATAGTGTTGGAGTAGTCGTGTTCGTCTGTATCGTTTCTGGCATCATCCTTGAGGCCCAGGTCCTTGTAGGACGGTAGCGCCAGGCAGCAAGCCTCTGTTCCCCTCATCAACTCTCTAATTTCTGAATTTATCCAAGGAGCAGGAGGACGTCTTAAAGTACTTGTCATAAGAGGAGCGTATTGGTTAAGGAAATCATGAAGGTCAGAGGAAAAGTATTCCACCATGTCATCGATGGAAGAAAGGGAGTAGATGGGTTCTAAGGAAACTGATAAGGAATCGAGATAAGGCCTGATGTTTTCAATGGTTAGGGAGTCGAGATCTCTCCAGGAAATTTATTTGGAAACAAGGGTAGGAATAATAACGTTGTATGAAATTTCGATAAGATCATGGGATGAGAGAAGGAAAACAGGGTTTTGCGAGGAGGATAATAGAATTTGAATGAATGAATGAAAAATGAATGAATGAATGAAATGAATGAAAAAATAATTTTATTCTGGGACTACTGTCCCCTAAGAATAATAACAGAGTTACAAATTTATGTATCTACCAACTAAATACCAACTAATTTATTGTTAATTGTTATTTCAATTGTGCAATGTATTGAAATTAAACATTGTATAGATGCAAGTAATTTTACATGTTAGGGGAAGTTTGAATGTGGAGTAAGTGTTGGAACAGGAGTTGTTTGAAGGAATTTGTGGATGAGGATTGACGCATGGAGGTAGGAAGTGAGTTCCATAAGGAAGCAGCACGAATGACGAAGGATTTGCTGAAGGAGGAAGTTTTATGGGAGGGAATATATAAGTCTATATATTGAGACATAGTATTGAGAGAGTGGATAGAGGAGTGTAGAGTAAGGAGTTCCAGGATGTACGGAGGGTTTTTGGTTCTGAAGACTTGGAAAAGGAAAACGCCGAGAAGGAATTGTCGTCGGGAAGTCGGAAAAAGCCACTTCAACTCGGTGCACCATAGTGAAACATGTGAACGCCTGGGGATCCCGAAAATGTATCTTATGAAACAATTCATGAGTCTTTTTAGTCTCATTTCCAGCCTGGCAGATAGCCCTCCATACACCAAGTAGCCGTAGTCGAAGTGGGGGAATACAAGGGAGGTTACAAGGAGCTATCTGGTTTTTAGAGGAATACAATCACGGAATCTTAGGAGTTGTTTAAGGACAGTTATGGATTTTCGGGTAATCTGGGAGATATGATTACCCCAGGAGAGGTTCTGGTCAAAGGTTACTCCTAGGTTTTTGACTGTAGGGAAAAAATGGATGGGATGGTTATTGAGGTAAAGTAGAGGAAAGTAAGGAAGGGAGCTAATGAGATGTCTGGACCCGATAATAATAGCCTTGGTTTTATATATATATTTTATATATATAATTGGTTTTATACATATATATATATATATATATATATATATATATATATATATATATATATATATATATATATATATATATATATATATATATATATATATATATACATAACAATTAGTAAAACATTTTTTTTTTAAATATTCGAGAGGTATAAGACAAATGACAATATAAATAAGCATTAATATATGTTATATGATTAACTATACCACTTAACAGTTCAATGAACAGCCTTGTATGAAGTAATACAGTTGGTTTATTTTTCTCGTAATGTCTATTTTCATTATCTCCTCCACACTAGCATATTCTCTGGATTCAGTGATAAATGCCTTCAAGTACTTATTTCTTGGCTCGTTGGACTTGGTACATTGGATCAGAAAATGAGTTACCGGGTCAGTTACAAGGCAGTTGCATGAACCATACACCTCACTGGATTTAATAGTCAAAGTAGCATCTTTTAAGTATATTTTCATAAAATCTTTACTTTCTACTCTGAGACGACTAACAGCTCTTAATTTGTTTAAATTCAGAGCCCTGAACTGAAGATAATCCTCTGGTCTGGTAACATTAAAGGAGCAGATGTTTCTATATCTTGGGTTTGATTTAGAGTTTAACACTCTGTCGATGTCCTTGGATGCGTGATGGTTTCTTATTTTTTCCATGATTTCATCTTTGAACCTCATCAGACCTTGAGAGAAAACACAAGAAAACAGCCCCTGACATCCGAGTTCCACCACAATTATCATTACTTGGGTAACTCAGTTATAAGTTTGATCAGGTTTTCCAATGGATGAGTCTAGAGCTCTAAGCCTATTAAAGCATTGTCTAGGTAGTCTTTCGTCACTCATTAAGCTTAGCTTTGTCCAATAGTTGATCACTTTTTTCAACATTTCAACACTTAATGGAGATCTCCCACTTTCAAGTCGAGCTACATAGTTCGGTGTATTTCTTGGCCAATGGAGCAATGATTTGATAAATCGAACTTGCGTCCTCTCCAAAACCTCCAGGTATCTCGTCCCCCAGATCTCTGCAGCATAGAGCAGTGTTGACGAGACCATCGAGTCAAAGAGGCTGATTTTTGTCTCCCAAGAGTCGCTTTTTCCATTTCTTAGGATTGCCATCACTTTGGTCGCTGCAACAGATGATCTATGTAAGAAATGCTCCTCGGCTCTCTCAAATTTTCCAGAAGAAGAAAAGGGTACACCCAGATATGTGTAGTTTCTGGTATACTCCAAACTTTTGTCTCGCCAAGCCAAAGTCTTAAGTTTCTTCATCTTTGGAGATTTATGGAACACCAACACCTTAGACTTAGATGGATTTAGGGTCAAAGATTTGCTTTTACAGTATTCGCTCAGTATATTGATGTTTCTTTGTGCACCATGCCTATGAATTACTGAGGAGCACAATATCATCCGCTAACAGAAGCATAACTACTTCATGGTTGTGGTCTATACTAATACCAACAGCTCCTCGGTCACGGAAGTACTCAACTATATCCGACACAAACAGGATAAACAATGCAGGACTAAGACTGTCCCCCTGAAGCAGGCCCAGACTGATACCAATCTCTTCTGAGAGCTCATGTTTAACTTTATCCGCATCGATGAAGCATCATATAGTTTCTTGAGAAGCCTAATTAGTTCTAATTAGTTTTCCCTCCATTCAAAGAGAAAAGAGCATTTCCCACAACAAATTTTGGTTGATGGAGTCGAAGGCCTTCCTAAGGTCGACAAACACTGCATAAACATTGCTGCCCTTTGACCTCAAATTAATGTTGACAACTGACATCAATGTGAATATGTGATCAATGCATCCCCTGCCCGTTCTAAAACCAGCCTGTTCCTCCGGTATTAATTTTTCTAATTCAGTCCATTTCATGATTCTGTTCCTAAGAATGCTAGTGAATAACTTTGCCAGAGTATTAAGTAAGGATATGCCTCTGTAGTTGTTCGGATCCTTTTTATCACCTTTCTTATACAGAAGACGCAAGTTAGATTCTGCCCACATTCCTGGAATTTGTTCAGAATTCAATACGTTATTAAATATATTTAATATGTAGTGCTCCCAAGAGGGGTTGAGACATTTAACAACTTCATAAGTTATATTATCAGGTCCTGGAGATTTATGTTTTTTACAGGTACCTATGCTTTGTTGCAGTTCTTCCAATGATATATTGATGTCCAGTAGTAGATGAGTTACGGAGAAAAAGTATGTTTCATGTATCGTTTTTTGGCCGTATAGATTCGTGTAATATTGAAACCAATCGTTCAGACTTATTTCGTTATTTTGATTGTGAGATGGTCTCAACATATTCACCGTCTTCCAAAACTCTCCACTATTTTTTACAGTTCTCAAATTTGTAATTACTGATGCTCTAAACTCCATTTCATCTTCCTCGTAAATATCAAAGCGGACTCCAACAAGTTCTCCTGCATTGCCTGTTTAAAGTTATCATACAGCTGGTTCACATCTTCAGAATAGAAATAAATTTTTTCAGAGTTGGAAATATTTTCACAAAATAAATTAATTTTGTCTTCATCTCACGGTGAATAGTTGGTAACTAAGTATTCTATTGGCGAAGCTATTCTGTTCATAGGAGGATTTTGTGCTCAAATGGTTTTCAAGGAGGTAATACAAGCCATGTGATCCAAAAGCCCTGATATACTAACGACTTCCATGTCTATAAATCTGTTCAGACAATTTTCATTTATACATACCAGATCGATCACCGATCTCCCCTTGGTTTTAACGAAAGCATATTTTCCTGGTCCGAACACTATCCGAAACACTACGGCCATTGCATATTATCATCCCCAAAGACTTCAGAGTTTCTACCAGAATTTTTCCTCGCCGGTTCACATGTTTGTGATATGATGATCTTTTTTTGTAAAGTCGTGTGCCCAACAAAAATTCTTTCTCTAAGCCATTTAAACTTCCCACGTGTCCATTAAAATCACCGGTTAAGATAATGCGGCTATGTGGATAGCTAGACATTATGCGAGTCATGACATTATGAAGTTCATCCATGCTAGAAACAATATCATTATTTGGAGTGAGATAGTTATTTCCCAATGTTAAAAACATGTTATTTAATTTTATATTCAAAAAAATCCAAAAGCGGTTGATTTCCAAGACGGTAACTTCGTGAGATATGCTGTCATGAATTAGTATTGCCAATCCTCCACTTCCTCTGCCAGTTATATGTGTTTTTACGGCATAAGAATAGTAAGCAACGTAATCAGTGAGCCAGGACGGTACGACAAATTCATTAAGTATCCAGGTCTCTACCAAACAGATAATTTTATTTTCTTTGATTATATTTGATTCTATACTTGGATTTATTAAATTTTTGTAGCCATTGATGTTACAGAATAATATTTTTAATAACTCTTCGTATAAATGGTTTGCAGTTACATTCGCCTGCCTTTCAGCTTTAACATTTATTATTATTTTGGATGACAACGAATTATCATAAGCAAAAGGTCAAGTGGAGGTGTGATCCTTCGATGAGCTTCTGAACTTATACTCACCCAATTTTTCCTTTATTTTTTTTTCTTTTTGCTGCTTAAGAGGGTTCCAACTCTTGCTGGTCATCATTGAAGTTCTCTAACAGTGCTTCGACTTCATTTTTTGGTTTTAGAGCATCTCTATTCTTAAATATTTCGTATTTTATGGAGTTGTTATTTAATGACAATAATATGGGACCCTTTCCTTTTCTGAAGCAGCTATTTACGGCATATTCTGGCAGTGCAATATTGACAGTTTTTAAGGAATCATTTACTTTAGCTAACACATCCTCGTTTTCCGTCATTGTTATGTTATGTATAACAAGATTTTTAATTTTGTTTTTAGATACATAATTTCTCGTTCTAATCGAGTATATTTTTCCTCTAAATGGATACAATGTTTTTTTAATGTATCCAACTCCTCAATTACCTCCGCCATTAGTTTATTATTCTTTTCCAGATTTGTATTTATTTCTTTAACAGCCTGCATAATCTCGTCGTTAGTACAAACCATTTTTAAGATATATTTCACGAAGTTGGCCAGTATTAATTAGGATGTTAATAGTGTTAACGAGAAGTATTCAAATAAATGTTTCTTTTATTTTAATTTAACACGTAAATGCGGTGTTTTTCAAATTAGCGCAACTTTAACTAAGGGCCAGTGAGGTACTGAAGTTCAAGGTCTGGATAGACAAGAAAAGGGCGAACCTTCCCCCACCCAGACAATCCTGTTATAGACCTGCCTAATCTGCCCACTAAAATGTAAAATAATTTTTACCTTATTTAGGGCGATCGGCTCGTGTGATACTCAGTAAATTTTAACAGTTCGTTCTTTAATAGTAGTTGATCACTATTGCACAGATTCATTCACCAAAATCAACTACAGCACTTTTTTTTGTGCACTTGTGCACACGATGTGAATACAACCACTACAGTGACTAGACTTCCATAATTTAATAAAAAAATATCATAATAGTTAAACTCAATTTATTTTTTATTTTTTTCAATAGGAACATACGACGTAGGCGGTAAAGCAGGCTTAAATAGTCACGAAGGAGGGCAGAGTCGAGGCTTGGAGGAACAATCATCGCCCGTGAGTTGTCATCAATCTTGTTTTAATACTAGACACAAAATAAATAATATTGTTTAAGATATATGTAATTACATTATAATCACAAATATAACAGGAACTCACCAAAGTAAAGAGCATCCTATTGTTTTCCAGGAACAGAAGGATGTTCGAGGACTTAGCAATCTTACACCAGAAGATCTATTTTCAATCAGTCTTAAGAACCAAACATCTGCATTGGGAGATTCTATCAAAATAGATCAAAAGCAAGAAAGTAATGATGACACAACTCATAAATCCGACGGTTTTATATTAGTCGATAATATGTCCCAAGCTCCTGCAGATGAAGTTCATATACCACAGCACCTTAAGAGTGAAGTACCTAGAATCGAAGATTTTACCAGAGTCAGTCATGTGCAAAAAGACTATGATAGCAAACATAAACCAGCCGCTTTCATCTCATTCGATTCCAAGCGCGAAGTTCCAAAAGCTGAAGTTAATATACCAGGCAATTCTATGACATCCAATCCTGAACCTGAATCTATTAGAACTAGTGATACATATAAAAGTAATGCTGATAAAACAGAGGTACCAACATCGATTAATTCTGTGTCCGATGTTCCTGAGTATAAAGGAATAAAATCTGTCAGTATAAGACTGCTAGATCATGAATTAGAATATAATACAATTAAAAATGTTATGCCAGACAGTTCTTTAATAATGCTGAAACCAGAAAATCGTTTGGTTAACAACCCCGTGCTAAGTACAAGGTCATGGAGCATAGGATTTTTGCCAAACTCTTTTATAGAACAACCAAAAAAAATTAACACAAGACCAAGTTCTCAATCTAATATTTTAAACAAATGGAGAGTATGCCAAAATCTCTGTAAATCTCCCAAGACTGATACAATAATGCAATTTTGTTTATCGAAAGGGTGTAAGCCAAAAAGTCAAACAATAAAAAAAGTAGGGACAAGACGTTCAAAAACTCGATTTATTAAATCAAACCAATGTCCTCCATCATGCAAATCACCAACAGCACATTTATGTATATTACATGGGTGTATGCCCAAAAAGGGAAAGTGGCCGAGAATTCCTATGAATCAATTATCTACAGATAGTAATATGCCAGTAGGTCCTGGAAAGGAAAAGTGGACGAGAATTCCAATGAATCAATTTCCTCCAGATAGTAATATGGCAATCAGTAATGGAAACGGAATGTGGCCAGGAAGTTCAATGAATCAATTTTCTCCAGATAGTAATATGCCAGTAGATCCTGAAAAGGAAAAGTGGCCGAGAATTCCAATGAATCAATTTCCTCCAGATATTAATACGGCAATCAGTAATGGAAACGGAATGTGGCCGAGAATTCCAATGAATCAATTTTCTCCAGATAGTAATATGGCAATCAGTTCTGGGAACGGAATGTGGCCAGGAAGTTCAATAAATCAATTTTCTCCAGACAGTAATATGCCAGTAGATCCTGAAAAGGAAAAGTGGCCGAGAATTCCAATGAATCAATTTCCTCCAGATAGTAATACGGCAATCAGTAATGGAAACGGAATGTGGCCGAGAATTCCAATAAATCAATTTTCTCCAGATAGTAATATGGCAATCAGTTCTGGGAACGGAATGTGGCCAGGAAGTTCAATAAATCAATTTCCTCCAGACAGTAATATGCTAGTAGATCCTGAAGAGGGAAAGTGGCCGAGAATTCCAATGAATCAATTTTCTCCAGATAGTAATATGGCAATCAGTAATGGAAACGGAATGTGGCTGAAAATTACAATGAATCAATTTTCTTCAGATAGTAATATGCCAATCAGTTCTGGAAACGGAATGTGGCCAGGAAGTTTAATAAATCAATTTCCTCCAGATAATAATATGCCAGTAGATCCTGAAAAGGGAAAGTTGCCGAGAATTCCAATAAATCAATTTCCTCCAGATAGTAACATGGCAATCAGTAATGGAAATGGAATGTGGCCAGGAAGTTTAATAAATCAATTTCCTCCAGATAGTAATATGCCAGTAGATCCTGAAAAGGGAAAGTGGCCGAGAATTCCAATGAATCAATTTTCTCCAGATAGTAATATACCAATCAGTCCTCGCAACGGAAGGAGACCGAAAAGATCAATGAATCAATTTCCTAAAAATAGTAATATGCCAGTAGGTCCGGGGAAGGAGAAGTGGCCGAGAATTCCAATGAATCAATTTTCTCCAGATAGTAATATGGCAATCAGTTCTGGGAACGGAATGTGGCCAGGAAGTTCAATAAATCAATTTCCTCCAGACAGTAATATGGCAGTAGGTCCTGGAAAGGGAAAGTGGCCAATAATTCCAATGAATCAATTTTCTACAGATAGTAATATGCCAATCAGTTCTGGGAACGGAATGTGGCCGAGAATTCCAATGAATCAATTTTCTACAGATAGTAATATGCCAGTAGGTCCTGGAAAGGGAAAGTGGCCGAGAATTCAAATGAATCAATTTTCTCCAGATGGTAATATGCCAATCAGTTCTGGGAACGGAATGAGACCGAAAAGATCAATGAATCAATTTTCTCCAGATAATAATATGGCAATCAATTCTGGGAACAGAATGTGGCCGAGAATTCCAATCAATCGTTTGTCTCCAGATAGTAATAGGGCAATCAGTAATGGAAACGGAATGTGGCCGAGAATTCCAATGAATCAATTTCCTCCAGATAGTAATATGTCAATTAGTAATGGAAACGGAATGTGGCCAAGAATTCCAATGAATGAATTTTCTCCAGATAGTAACATGGCAATCAATTCTGGGAACAGAATGTGGCCGAGAATTCCAATGAATCGTTTTTCTCCAGGTAGTAATATGGCAATCAGTAATGGAAACGGAATATGGCCGAGAATTCCAATGAATCAATTTCCTCCAGATAGTAATATGTCAATCAGTAATGGAAAAGGAAAGTGGCCAGGAAGTTCAATGAATCAATTTACTCCAGATAGTAATATGTCAATCAGTAATGGAAAAGGAAAGTGGCCGAGAATTCCAATGAATCAATTTTCTGCAGATAGTAATATGCCAATCAGTAATGGAAACGGAATGTGGCCAGAGAGTTTAATGAATCAATTTCCACAAAATAGTAATATTCCAGTAGTTCCTGCAAATGCAATGCTGTCTGAAAGTTCAGTGAATCAATTTCCCCAAAATAGTAATATTCCTGTTGTTCCTGCAAACGGTGTGTGGCCGGGAACTCCAATGAATCAACTTTCTATTGATATTATTATGGCATTCAGTCCTGAGAACGGAATGTGGCCAGGAAGTTCAATAAATCAATTTCCTCTAGATAGTAATATGCCAGTAGATCCTGGAAACGGAATGTGGCCAGGAAGTTTAATAAATCAATTTCCTCCAGATAGTAATATGCCAGTAGATCCTGAAAAGGGAAAGTGGCTAAGAATTCTAATGAATCAATTTTCTCCAGATAGTAATATGCCAATCAGTCCTCGCAACGGAATGAGACCGAAAAGATCAATGAATCAATTTCCTAAAAATAATAATATGCCAGTAGGTCCTGGAAACGGAATATGGCCGAGAACTCCAATGAATCAATTTCCTCCAGATAGTAATATGGCAATCAGTTCTGGGAACGGAATTTGGCCGAGAATTCCAATGAATCGTTTTTCTCCAGATAATAATATGGCAATCAGTAATGGAAACGGAATGTGGCCGAGAATTCCAATGAATCGTTTTTCTCCAGATAGTAATATGGCAATCAGTAATGAAAACGGAATTTGGCCAGGAAGTTCAATGAATCAATTTCCTCCAGATAGTAATATGTCAATCAGTAATGGAAACGGAATGTGGCCGAGAATTCCAATGAATCAATTTTCTCCAGATAGAAATATGGCAATCAGTTCTGGGAACGGAATGTGGCCGAGAATTCCAATGAATCGTTTTTCTCCAGATAATAATATGGCAAACAGTAATGGAAACGGAATGTGGCCGAAAATTCCATTGAATCAATTTCATCCAGATATTAATATGTCAATCAGTAACGGAAACGGAATGTGGCCGAGAATTCCAATGAATCAATTTTCTCCAGATACTAATATGGCAATCAGTTCTGGGAACGGAATGTGGCCGAGAATTCCAATGAATAAATTTTCTCCAGATAGTAATATGGCAATCAGTAATGGAAACGGAATGTGGCCGAGAAATCCAATGAATCAATTTTCTCCAGATAATAATATGGCAAACAGTAATGGAAACGGAATGTGGCCAAGAATTCCAATGAATCAATTTCCTCCAGATAGTAATATGCCAATCAGTTCTGGGGACGGAATGTGGGCGAGAATGCCAATGAATCAATTTCCTCCAGATAGTAATATGGCAATCAGTAATGGAAACGGAATGTGGCCAGGAAGTTCAATGAATCAATTTTCTCCAGATAGTAATATGCCAACTAGTCCTGGAAACGGAATGTGGCCGAGAATTCCAATGAATCAATTTCCTCCAGATAGTAATACGGCAATCAGTAATGGAAACGGAATGTGGCCGAGAATTCCAATGAATCAATTTTCTCCAGATAGTAATATGGCAATCAGTTCTGGGAACGGAATGTGGCCAGGAAGTTCAATAAATCAATTTTCTCCAGACAGTAATATGCCAGTAGATCCTGAAAAGGAAAAGTGGCCGAGAATTCCAATGAATCAATTTCCTCCAGATAGTAATATGGCAATCAGTTCTGGGAACGGAATGTGGCCGAGAATTCCAATGAATCGTTTTTCTCCAGGTAGTAATATGGCAATCAGTAATGGAAACGGAATGTGGCCAAGATTTCCAATGAATCAATTTTCTCCAGATAGTAATATGCCAATCAGTCCTGGAAACGGAATGTGGCCAGGTAGTTCAAATAATCAATTTCCTCCACACAGTAATATGCCAGTAGATCCTACAAACGCAATGCAATCTCGCAGTTCAATGAATCAATTTTCGTCAGATAGTAATATGCCAATGAGTCCTGGAAACGGAATGTCGCCAGGAAGTTCAATGTATCAATTTTCCAAAGATAGTAATATGCCAGTAAGTTCAAAAATTCAAGATGAAATAATGCCTAAAACTCCTCGCAACGGAACGAGACCGAAAAGATCAATGAATCAATTCCCTAAAAATAGTAATATGCCAGTAAGTCCTGGAAAAGGAGTGGTGCCAGGAAGTTCAATCACTCGAATATCTCAAAAAAGAATTATGTCAATGAGTCCTGGAAAACGAATGTGGCCAGGAAGTCCCATGGATCAATTTCCCAAACATAGTAATATGCCAGTAAGCCCAGGAAACGGAATGTGGCCGGGAAGTTCAATGAATCAATTTCCCCAAAATAGTAATATTCCAGTTGTTCCTCTAAACCGAATGTGGTCTGGAAGTTCAATGAATCAGTTTTCCGAAGAGAGAAATATGCCAATAAGTCTTGGAAAAGGAATGGTGCCAGGAGATTCAATCACTCAGATATTCCAGAATAGAATTATGTCAACGAGTGCTGGAAACGGAGTGTGGCCGGGAATTCCAATGAATCAATTTCCTTCAGATAGCAATATGCCAGTAGGTCCTGGAAACGGAATGTGGCCGGGAAGTTCAATGAATCAATTTCCCCAAAATAGAAATATTCCAGTTTTTCCTGCAAATGGAGTGTGGCCGGGAACTGCAATGAATCAATTTCCTCCAAATAGTAATATGCCAATCAGTCCTGAAGGGGGAATATGGCCAGGAAGTTCAATGAATCAACTTCCTTCCGATAGTAATATGCCGGTAGGTCCTGAAAAGGGAAAGTGGCCGAGAATTCCAATGAATCAATTTTCTCCAGATAGTAATATGCCAATCAATCCTGGAAACGGAATGTGGCCAGGAAGTTCAATGAATCAATTTCCTCCAGATAGTAATATGCCAGTAGGTCCTGGAAAGGGAAAGTGGCCGAGAATTCCAATTAATCAATTTCCTCCAGATAGTAATATGGCAATCAGTAATGGAAACGGAATGTGGCCAGGAAGTTCAATGAATCAATTTCCACAAAATAGTAATATTCCAGTAGTTCCTGCAAACGCAATGCTGTCTGAAAGTTCAATGAATCAATTTCCCCAAAATAGTAATATTCCAGTTGTTCCTGCAAAGGGGGTGTGGCCGGGAACTCCAATGAATCAATTTCCTCCAAATAGTAATATGCCAATCAGTAATGGAAACGGAATGTGGCCAGGAAGTTCAATGAATCAATTTACTCCAGATAGTAATATGCCAGTAGGTCCTGGAAAGGGAAAGTGGCCGAGAATTCCAATGAATCAATTTCCTCCAGATAGTAATATGGCAATCAGTAATGGAAACGGAATGTGGCCAGGAAGTTCAATGAATCAATTTCCCCAAAATAGTAATATTCAAGTTGTTCCTGCAAACGGGGTGTGGCCGGGAACTCCAATGAATCAATTTTCTCCAAATAGTAATATTCCAGTTGTTCCTGCAAACGGGGTGTGGCCGGGAACTCCAATGAATCAATTTCCTCCAAATAGTAATATTCCAGTTGTTCCTGCAAACGGGGTGTGGCTGGGAACTCCAATGAATCAATTTCCTCCAAATAGTAATATGCCAATCAGTAATGGAAACGGAATGTGGCCAGGAAGTTCAATGAATCAATTTCCACAATCTAGTAATATTCCACTAGTTCCTGCAAACGCAATGCTGTCTGGAAGTTCAATGAATCAATTTTCTCCAGATAGTAATATGCCAGTAGGTCCTGTAAAAATAATGTGGGCGGGGATTCCAAGGAATCAATTTTCTCCAGATAGTAATATGCCGGTAGGTCCTGGAAACAGAATGTGGCCTGGAAGCTCAATGAATCGATTTTCCAAAGAGAGTAGCATGCCAATAGGTCCTGAAGAAGGAATGGTGCCAGGAATTTTAATCACTCAGATAATCCATGATAGAATTATGTCAATGAGTCCTGGACATAGAATATGGCCGAGAACCTCAATGAACCCATTTCCTTCACATAGTAATATGCCAATGAGTCCTGGAAACGGAATGTGGCCAGGAAGTTCAATGAATCAATTTCCCAAAAATATTAATATTCTAGTAGGTCCTGGAAAAGGAGTGGTGCCAGGAGGTTCAATCACTCAGATATCCCAGGATAGAATTATGTCAATGAGTCCTGGACATAGAATGTGGCCGGGAACCTCAATGAACCCATTTCCTTCACATAGTAATATGCCAATGAGTCCTGGAAACGGAATGTGGCCAGGAAGTTCAATGTATCAATTTCCCAAAGATAGTACTATGCCAGTAGGTCCTGGAAAAATAATGTGGCCGGGAATTCCAATGAATCAATTTTCTCCAGATAGTAATATGGCAGTAGCTCCTGGAAAAGAAATGTGGGCGGGAAGTCCACTCAATCAATTTCCCAAAAATATTAATACGCCAGTAGGTTCTGCAAACGGAATGAGGCCGGTTAGTTCTATGCCTCAGTTAATCGAATCAAACAGTTTTACACAGCATAACGGTTTTGGACCGAGAGTTTGTCGTGATATATGTAAATCTACAATGTCTGATTCAATCGTTAAACTTTGTTTATCCTTGGGTTGTAAGCCTGATAATCCAATGATGATTGGAATAGGGAAAGCAAATTCAATAGCTCATGCTGACAACCCAAACAGCTTTCCACAAAGCATGGCAGGAAGTTCAATGCCTCAGTTACTCCAAGATAGAAATATGAAAAGAAATACTGAAAACGAAATGGATTATGGAGTATCAATGACTCAGTTAATCGGATCAAACAGTTTGAAACAACATAAGGTTGTTAGACCGGGAGAGTGCCCTGATAAATGTAAATCTCCAATATCTGATTCAATACTTAAATTATGTTTATCTTTGAAATGTAAACCTGATGGTCCAGTGATGATCGGAATTGGGATAGCAAATTCAAGAGCTCATGTTAACAACCCGAACAGCTTTACACCAGGCATGGCGATAAGTTCAATGGCTCAGTTTCTCCAAGATAAGAATATGAAAATAAATTCTGGAAAAGGAATGGATTATGGAAGTTTGAGGACTCATTTAATCGAATCAAACAGTTTGGCACAAAATAAGGGTGATAGACTGGGAGTCTGCCCTGATATATGTAAATCTCCAATGTCTGGATTAATCGGTAAATATTGTTTATCTTTGGATTGTAAGCCTAGTGGCTCCAATGATGGTCTAATATCAATCGGAACTAAGACAACAAATTCAATATCTCAGGTTAAAAACACTAACAGTTTTACTCCAGACATTATGGGTTTAGCGATTTCTCAAAATGTAGCTCGTAGACGAAATTCCTGCCCCAGAATCTGTAAGTCTCCGAGACAAGATACAACAGCCCAATTTTGTATATCTTTGGGTTGCAATCCAGACAACTTTCCACCAAGCGTTAATTCTATCTATAACTAGTTAACACTGCTGTTCATAATATTCTATTACCTTCTTTATCAAGACGAACTATTAGGTCAAAATTCCAGTGCCTTTTATATCAATATAAACTGATGGGCCCAACCACCAATACCGTATTCTCATTAAATGCAGCCATTCCAAAAATTTCCCTCTTTTTCATAAATTCTTCCTATTTTGTAACATTTTTGGATTTAACAGAACCTAATACATAATTCAGTTTGATTTTCTTTAAAATAAAAAGTATCTATTGCTAAAAGTTTTGTGAAAAATCTTTACTAAATATTCGGTACTATCTTGCCTTTATCCTAACGTTTTTCTGGGGAAAGTAACATCTTGTTTCGTCCCTTTGGTGTTGGGAAAAGATAGCCCCTATTAAATTTAGTTTTGGACATTACTTTTATCAAAAAGTTTATAACGATTTTAATGAGTGATACGAAATTTGAACATGTATTAGACCATTAATCAGTGAATCCTCAAGCAATGGTCATTACTAAAGCGAATATCAAACCTAGAGGGACACTTTCCTCAAAGACATCAAAAGTGAAAACCACAACACAAGGTAAGAAGGTTATCTTTCCTAAAAAGCTTAATGAAGTTAAATTACCTTCCCATAATATAAAATCTGCTTCAGAACCTGGAACAAGCTTAGTTAATGAATGGACTGAGGTTACTAGGAAAAACTCTTTTTCTCCACGGAGTGAATCTTGTGCATTAGAAAAAAATAGTTTTGAGTCAGTGAACCCATTCACAGTCTTAAATATCGATGACGGAACTCAATGCCAAACTTCTGTTGAGCAAGCAAAAACAGTAGTACCCAAACCGCCTCCAATATATGTAAAATCAGTATATCATTTTGCACAGTTTTGCGACGATCTCATAAAAGAAGTAGGAGTCAAAAAATTTACATTAAAATCAATCCTTGCTACCAGTAGATTCAGATGCATACAGAAAAATCATTAAATATTTAAAATCCAAAAATGCTCAGTATCACACCTATCAACTGCAAGAAGATAGACCATTTCGAGTGGTCATAAAAAATCTACATCCTAATCTTAGTTGTCAAACCATCCAACAAGAACTAGAGGAAGAAGGTTATGCAGTTCTAAAAGTACAAAATATTATTCATCCAAGAACCAAAGTACCGCTTCCCATGTTCTTTGTTGATCTGAAAAAAAATGAAAACTGTGATAAAATATTTTCACTACAATATTTATATTACACGAGAGTTGTTGTTGAGGAACCCAGACACAGAAACGAAATCGTTCAATGTAAACGATGCCAATCCTATGGTCACACAAAATCCTACTGCAACCTTAAACCGCAGTGTGTAAAATGCGCAGGTTCACACCTCTCAGACAGCTGTAAGAAGTCTCAAGATGTACCACCGAAGTGTGCTCTTTGCAATGAAGCCCATCCGGCCAACTACAGAGGCTGTATCGTTCACAAAGAATTGAAACAACTCAGGCAACACCCACCGGTTAGAAGTCCAAGATTTTATGCTAGGTCTGAAGGACATCTGCAATCAGAAGAGCCACACAAGAATTCAGCTTCGCTGGAAAAGTCTCTTGTACCACCGCCTCAGGTAATGCAAACAGACCAAACAATGCCATCATATTCTCATGTTATACCAACACACACTACATCTCCACAAATTATCACTACAACTGAAAATAGATCATTAACTAATGCTGCTCTCCATAACACAAAACAACCTGACATCACAACACAACTTACTGACTTCATTAATGAATTTAAAAACCTTGTGACTCCACTAATTTCATTACTTACCACCCTAATGCAGCACCTCCTACCCAAGCTTACGTCATGAAAAGGTTAAAAATTCTTCTATGGAATTCAAATGGCGTACTTGCGCACAGAAATGAGCTAGAAGTATTTCTTGGTGACAAGGAAATAGATGTAGCACTCTTGACCAAAACACACTTGAGAAGCCAAATTAAATTTTCAATACCAACTTACAACACTTTCAGGACTGACCATCCATCAGACTGTGCTAAAGGTGGCACACTTATTCTAGTTAAAAAGTCTATTGATC